ATTTCTCAGTGAACAATTAGTGCTTTATTTTCCTCCAAAAAAAATAAAGGGCCATTAAGAGAAAAATTTCAAAAGTGTGAAAGAGACATATCCAACATGGAAATGAAGTGGAAAAGATAAATAAAATAGGCATTCCTTTGCTATATTTGGTGGAGTCCTGCAGAGAAAAAAATTCCAGGGAGGCAGCATTGAGACATAGTTTATTAATGCAGTTTTCCCCACAGCAGGACACAGAAAGAGAAACTGGTAAAACAGTCACACTAAAAAATTATGACTCTTACATCTGATCTTTATGAATACATAGAAAAGAAACTGTCCTTGTGGGTCATCCCTGGCCCATGTTGATGTAGAGATGCAAAGAATTATTATTATTATTATTTTTTACTCAAAGCATTATTTGCTCCATAGTCAGGGGATTTTAAAAGTACTTATGAAAAGGTCCTATGAACAATTTTGAGTGGATTTCCCAATTATATTTGGAATAAAGCATTTCAGTCTTGTTTTTAAAGTGTGTACAAAATTGAAGTCCGTATTCCCTTTGGGGAAAAATTGTAGTGAGTGGTAAACTGATTATAAGTGAAAATTCCCTGAGAATCTGAGAGCTAGGAGGAAGCAGACTGATCAGCTAAACCAGTTTAGACTATGTCCTACTGATGAGTTAGGAAATTAGTTTAGACTCTAAACTTCAGAGGGCCACAGTTAGAAAGTAGAGGAGGGGATAGGGTAGAGTAAAATTGAATAAAAGAAAAAGAGGGTTACACGTACTGTTATGAAGCTTTTGTTTCTGTGTATGTATGTCTATCTTTCTGTCTGTTGGGTTACCAACATCAAGTATGTGCTATATTGATTATGGCCAAAGAACGGAGATTGTTGGTCTAATCAAATTCCTTCCTTTTTCAGGTAAAAAAACTAGAGCCCAAGATGGGAGAAAAATGACTTTCTCAAGTCATACAGCGAGTCAGAAGTAGCCTGGGTCTCCTGACTCCCTATATCCTTCCTGTTACATTCTATCTATCAAAATGTTTGGAGGTAGATGCCAACTCTTGCTCCATAGATTCTTTTACCATCTTGGCAGCTAACATCCCATTCCTTTCTGGGGACGTTTCCTGTGCTTCTAGATTAATTGGTTTCCTTTTTCTCCTTCCCAAACATTCCTATCACCCTTTTACCATTGAGGATCAGTGGGTCTGTGGGAGCAGACAGCTGTGTGAAGGGGCAAATAATCAGTAGCCAGGCTTGGATGATCTATGATTCATGGCTAACTCATGGTAGCTCAGGAGATTGTAAAATTCCACAGCTCACTGCTCCCTGAAGTTGATGAGCCACATGAGAAGAAAGGAGCCTCCCTGTAAAAAATGGGGAGGTATATAGAGGGCATCTTCAGAACCAAGACAACCATCTGATGACTGTGGGCTTTAGGCAGTTCCTGTCAGATTCAGGAACTGAGTCTAAAACAGAAGCACGTACAAAGTGTTCCATAACTGTAATGGTAGAGATGGATTATGAAAGAGAATCCTGCCCGGGACTCAAGGTGCCTCTGGCTTTGACTTAAGGGGAAAAATGATCTACCTTAATAATAAACAAACACATATTGCATTTGCCATGGGCCAGCCACTCTTTGGATATTATAAATATTTACTCATTGAGTGTACATAATCAACCTCTAAGCTTTAGAAGAGTCTTCCTAGCAGTGGGTTGTAGTGAGAAGGTTGAGAAATATTGAGATGTGTTAAAATAATTTGGTTTTCTTTCTGATGTGAAGACAGGAGGGTGAGGGTGCTTCATGGAATTTAGAGCGATGTCACCGACAGAGTGAATTAATCAACAGTCAAATCCAGAGAGAAAAGGTCAACTACCTACTTTCTCTTGGCAGAAAGCATTGGGAAGACAATTGTTCTCACAAAGATTCATTACTTTTTGATGCTTTCCAGAAGTGGTGATGGATTTGCAATAAACCATCTACTTTTTTTCCTCTTCTTTTAAATCTCTCTCACATATTTGTAGGGTAGCTGCCTTGGTGCAGAAAGGCTGCTTGGATCCTGAAACCACCCACATAAGCCCACGTGGAGATCAAACCTATGCTCTGGACTTGTGGAAGCTATGCCTTTTGCTTTGTGCTCAAAGATGATCCTCACTAAATTTTTGTTAATTTTTTTTTTTTAGCACATGTCAAAAACGGATGCTGGCTTTGGTAACTGCTAGATTTGGCTTTGATGAAGATCATTAAAAGTTTATTGAATAGTTAGAAGGGCAAAAGTTGGTTGATGTTTTCCCCCACCCCCTAAAAGATATAAAGTGAGGGCTTTTAAAAAACAAAAACATTATTATATGTGTATATGTTTTGTATGTTAAATCCCATAATACTCTGATGGAATCTCCAATCCACAGATGAGGGAACTAAGTTGAATGACTTGCTGAAGATAAATAGGTGAGGGACAGAATTCAGAATATAGTCTGACTACAGAAGCCATTACTCTTTCCAAATAATACTGCAGCCAGAAAGTTATTTTTTTTTTTCTATTTGAAAATGATTTGTCCCTAAAAGCATTCACTGACCATGGCAAAACTTTAATTGCTCTTTCCATGCCATAGCCTACAAGCTATCCATGAGGAATAGCAACAGTTAAAAACTGCTCGCCTGTAATTAAGTCTTGGTTCCCTTAACAATTCCACCATGTAATTAAACTTATTTCTCCAACAGGCAGATATGATTCACTAAAGATTTTAAGAAAAGCTATTTATATTAGGCTGTTTCTTGCTCATAGTTAACCATGGTCAAGTCTGGGCTTGGAAATGATGAATAGGAGGAATGTAGAGAATGCTCCTGGCCCAGAACTTACCAACGCTAAAGCTGTATCAGAGGGAGGGTGTGTTTCCTGTGTAACTGGTGCAACTTCTAATTTATTTCTGCTCATTATTTCCCTAGATGAATGGGATGGGTAGAAAGGCAGGTTTTCTGATATTTATCCTTTTCTTGTGGGATCCTCCATTAACTTAGGCAGCAAATCTCATTGTTATTAATCATCAAAAATAGAAAATGTCTCTTTTTGAAAGAAGTAATTATCAGAAGCCTCACTATGTCTTTAAAAAAAAAGATCGATTTGCTACCATCAGTACATTCTGTGACTATCTTCTGAAAAAATTTGGCATACACCACAAATAGTTTATGGAGCATTTTTCCCCCTCCCAACTGCAATTTGGCTTAGCATAAAGCACTAAAGACTAACCATTAAAAAAAAATACTAACCATGCACTGGTGGCACATACCTATAATACGAATCAAGCAGAGAGCTGAAGATCAAGGTTCAAAGCCAGCCAGTCAAAAAAGTGTATGAAAGTCTTATCTCCAATTAACCAGCAAAGAAGCTGGAAGGAAAGGTATAGCTAAAGTGGAACAGCTCTAGCCTTGAGTAAAAAAGCTAAAGGACAGACAGCACCCTAGCCCTGAGTCAAGCTGCAGTATGGGTGCGCGCGCGCACACACACACACACACACACACACACACACACACACAGTGCTAAAGATGGCAAGAATGACATTAAATTACACACCTTGTTATAATGCACAGAGACTTAAGTATCTGTATGTTTAATTTTTTTCTCACTGTACATGCAAATCAAATATTAAACAAAATGTAACCAAAAGTTTTCTAGAGTTTAAAGGAGTTAAAGTTAAATGAAATGAGGGTCACCACTTGGACCCAGATACCAAATAAAATGGCCAAATAGAGAATGCACTGGCTGTGAAACAAATAAAACCCAATTGCCTTCTCTGTCATGGGACAAAAAGACCCAAAAAGTAAGGAAGCGAATGAATGTATGTACTAAAGTACTTACTGTATTTTCTTGGTTCAGTGGCTGCTCTGAGAATACTGTGCAATTAGTACCTGGAAAACAATACAACCTCTTCAGAGAACTTGATGAGCCCAGATGTTGGAGATTATGATCTCCTGAATGCAATGGAATTTATGTCAGGAGACTAAAGAGAAGAATCAATTTATGACTTGCTCTACCTGTTTGCAATATGTGCTCAGCTTATTGTCTGTCCACATTATGATGCATAGTGATTACAATGCCGGGGAATTATGCACAGCATGTGACCACCATTGTTAAGTTTAATAGAGGGGCATTTGCCATTTTTTACTCCGCAATCTGGTTCTATCATATTTGCTCAATCATTACTATAGGACTGTGTTACAAGGCAATTATTTCATACTAGTTTTAACTCTCAGGGAATAGAACATTTTCCTCCCATCTCTCCTATCTCTTCCCTTCATTCTAGGCTGACCTCAAATTTCCAACACTAGGATTCAGCTGGGTATATGTATGGACAGGCAAGTAGTTCTTGTCTTTGTTCAATTCTCTTAAGTTCCAGAACTACAAACCCCATGGATGAGCGTCCTTTGTTGTAAAAAGCACATCCACAAGACAAAGCACCTCAAGCTTATTTTGAAAGCAGATGGGGCATCAGCCCCCCCCTCCTCCTCCAAACAGATGAAAACTCAGAAGTAAATCCTAAATTTTAAACTCCCTTTTATTGAAATATAAGTTTGTTTAGTATATTTACACCACATTGTATGCACATATATACACAGAAGGAAATTCTGTCAAATAAAAAAGTTTTTCTTAATAAAAAATTAAAATAAAAACAAAGTAAAGTGCATGGAACTAATTTTCCCCGCCCCCATCTTCTTCTTCTGGTGAACCATCATCCTTGTCAACATTTTGGTCAGTTAGGAAGGGCAGGGAGAAATTCATTATGTGACTCAGTGCATAGATAGACCCAGTCCTGAATTCACACCCTCTGGGGGCAAAACCGACAGAAGTTCAGGAATGAGTCAGACAAATTGTCAGAGTCTGTAGGGCTCCCCAGGGCGTGGAGGTCTTGCTCTCTTTGTCCTATCCCGGCACTGAACAGTGATCTCACCATTGCTGCGCTGGAACAAAGGGAGAACACAGGAAGGGGGCTCCACCAGACAGTGTCACCGCCTTGCTCGGTGGGGAGGGGGTGTCACCAGCGCTGCATTTGGTAGGAAACTGCAGAATTAGCTCAAGGGCTCCCACGGAAGTTTTCCTTTTTGGGAAAGGGAGAGTTGTGGGGCGGGGCAACCCCCAGCAGCCCGTTGCTTTTTTTTTGTGATCGGATCCAATCTTCACCGGACACCGGAAAAGAATCCTTTTCTAAACAAGAGTGAAAGGGAATGTGAAGCATCTCGCCCATCTCCGAACTTGGAAACGGCGTGGAATGATAAGGAAGGGACAGGTGGGTGAAGCACAATAAGTTTTCAGACACCTTGGCGCTCAGGTCACTGGCCGGGCGTGGGTCGCTACCGTCCCCATCCATGAGTAGTAGTGAGTGGCGATTGAATTCAAACCCCGGGTCTCCCGGTCTTCCATGAAGAGTTAAGTCCCCGGCCGGCGGCCGTACTTGGCTTTGCAGTGCAAAATGTGCTTGGCGAGGAAGTCGAGGCGGCGCTGCAGGAGCTGAGCGTGGGGGTCCGCGAGCGCGGCCAGCTCGGGGAAGCGAGGCTCGTGGCGCCGGTAGAGGCGCAGCAGCCTGGCCGCGGCGTCCTGACCGCGGTGCAGTTCCAGCACGCGCCGCGCGGTCCGTTCGCGGAACACGCACACCGACTGCAACAACGGCTCGTTATACTTGTCCCACATGCCGGCTACCCGGTAACCGTGCACCAAACCCGCCTCGTTGTCTAGAAACACCAGCGCCCCGCCCGGTCCGCGGTGCAGATTGCTCGTGGCGCGCTGCATCACGCGCGGGTCCCATTGCAAGCTGAAGAGGTTGCTGACGAGTCGATCGAAGTTGGCCGTCAGGTAGTCGAAGAGGATCAGGTCGGTCCATTGGACCAAATCCACCAGCTCTGCCTGGCTGAGGTTGGCTAGTTCTCCGCCGGTGTCGCGCAGGGGTCGCAGGCGGCCGTCCCCGGAGCGCCAGGGCTCCGGCACCACCACGTCGGTGAGGTTGGGCAGCCAGCGCGTCAGGCTCACCACGCTGCCCTCGGTCCAGTGCGCGGCGCGCAGCTCCTCCTGCACCTGCGCCCACTGCGCGCCTCGAGCCTCCACCCGGGCCAGCGCCAGCGGCGGCACGTGGCGCTGGAGGCCCAGCAAGCGCGCCAGGTAGTAGGACAGGGCCTCGCCCTGGATCTGCTCCGGGTTGATGCCGTAGCGGACACAGGCACGGGTGCCGTCGGCAAAGCGGGCTAGTCGGTTCGAACTGCGCCCGCAGCCCCCGCGATCCAGAGCCACCACCCGGGCCCCGCGCACCACCTCCAGCCACGCCGCCGCTTGGGCTTCGGAAAAGCCCCGGGGCACCTGCTCCTCCAGGCCGCGGCTCCAGAAGACGCCGCCGTGCACCGTGGCGCGCTCCGCCGGCCCCCGCTG